CATACAGCAACATTTATTTATTGAAACTGAAGTGTATGCAAATTCACGGCAATTTTCTCTTAATTAATTTCCTACAGAGGTATATTTAAATGATGACAGGTAATAATAGTAAATATATTTATAATATTGTTATTAAAAATTATTATTCGTTTTTAGATATATATTTTTCCGCCTACCTCTATCCAAAGTATACATTTCCTGACCTCATTGCAGGGAGCAAAGTCATACTTTTCCTCCCTAGGGAGGAAATGTACTTTTACTCCCTAGGGAGGAAAAGTAAAAGTGACGTCATGGTATGTCATAAATGAAATAGCTTATACGGCATTGACGACCTAAAATATATTCTATTATATAAGTATGAATTTTACCGTTTATTTATAGAACACCCTGTATTTTGCAAAATAGTAAAAATCAGTAAATTGTTATTTTAATTTAACGATTTTTACAATAATAATTTGACATCAATTCATAGATTCATCCGATTTTCGAATTTAGGACAGAAATATTATAGCATGCTATGGTCGATTGACAGATCAGTTTTAAAGTGTGTTACGCTATAATATATCTACAAAATATAAAATAATATTTAAAAAATGAGTGATTCAAGCGAATTTAAAGATATAAATAATACACCACCAGATATTTTGGAACAGGTTAATAATAATAATAATAATACTCTCCCTAATTCACCCCCTTACGAGTGAATTTTAACTCCAAAAGCTGAGCTTGTCCGGGGAAAGGGACGGCTATTATTATTATTTGCCGTGGCGCTCCGGGGCGACTTAAAGATGATTGATGGTGCCATTTGACTTACAGGTGAGGAAAACCCGGAAAACCTCACCCACCATCATCGAGACGGTAATGTATGGCGAATTTTTTTAATCTGCATGTCATATCAACAGAAATTGAATTTCTATTAATACGCCACACATCAAATCCTAAACCGAACCATGCAATTTAATTAAAAATCCACATGGTCTGGTCTGGGATTCGAAGCAGTCTCAGACTCATAAACTTGCCTATAAATGAATATAAGCGCGATAGACCGCTACACCACCGTGCCCGATAATGCAACAGTTCAATCTCTATTACCCCAAAAATCTAAAGAAAAATACGAAAAACGGTATTTACATTTCAAGCAATGGGCCGAAGAAAAGCATATTCGTACTTACTCAGAAAAATAATTACTCTACCACAAATTAAAAATATATAGGATGCAAGAATGAAAATAACATGTCTATAATTTATACTATACCTACTTCATAATTTTAGTTCTTTAATAAATTTTGTTTGTTAGTTTCATAAATAAATTATTTAAAAATGACTTGTTATTTGAGGGAGGCGGAAAAATCATATTTATTACTTGGGAGTAAAGTGCCTTTTCCTCCCTTGGATGTTTATAGTAAACTTCATCCTGCGGGAGGAAAAGTGACACTTTCCTCCCTAGTAATACAAATAGCTATTATGGCATAGTTTCATATTTATTAGACCATTATGTAGCTGTTATAAGAAGAAAACAGGGAAATTGGGAACTACACAATGACCTACAAAAAAAAATTTCCAAATCAAAACAAGGTCACAACAAGGTTAACCCACATTTAGTGGTTTATATAAAACAGTAGTTTCCTAATACGCATTTTTTATTTTAACGTTTTTCAAGAAAACTTTTATTTTTAACTAGAATGTCCTTTTTTAATTATTGCCCAATTTTAAAACAACTTGTAAGTCACTCTTCTTGGTTACTTAAAATTGTTTTATATTTTACAGATATAGGAATATTTAATAATATGCTCCTCTTAAAATGTTAAATTATATTTTATTTTATTTTATTTTGCTTTATTTAATTATGATTTGCGTATCAAATACAAGAATGTACCTACTAAATATTACAATATATGCACATGGTGCTTATATTTGTATCACCATCTTAATTTATTAAAGTAAAACTGTAATATTGTAACTATAAATTTTATTAATATATTAGTATGTAATAAAATAGATAAAGAAAAAGATGTTGGCCCCAAAAAATTCCAGGTCTACACGACGATGTGGCGGGGCCGCGTGAATTAAGCCCCAACTTAGGAATTCGCTTCCGGCGTAACCACGAGGTTGCAAATTTTTTCACAAAGGTTGCCTTAAGTTGCAAATTAGTTGCTAAATTATGAAAAAAAATCGAGGTCACTACGACGATGTAATGGGGCCGCGTGAATTTGGCCCCACCAACTTAGGAATTCGTTTCTGGCGTAACCACGAGGTTGCAAATTTTTTCACGAAGGTTGCCTAAAGTTGCAAATTAGTTGCTAAATTATGAAAAAGGTTCGAGGTCAATATGACGATGTGGTGGGGCTGCGTGAATTTGGCCCCACCACTTTTGTTTTAGCGATTAGAACAAAAGTGTAAGGTTGCAAATTTTTTTATACCGGTTGCCTAAAGTTGCAAATTAGTTGCAAAATATTGGTACAACTTTGGTGTGATTTTCAGAACATGGTAGGGCCAACTTCACGCAGGTCCACTATACAACATTTATGATAAATATTCTTATATTGAGCATGATATTGATATATTAAATACCAGTATAATGACAATAAAAAAATATTTCTTCAATAATTAAGTATTCAGCACACCAATTTTATATATTTCTAGTCTTTTATAATCCTATGTTTTAATATCAATTGTATAAAACGTTAAAATACAACTTTGTATTTTGCTGTTTATTTTGAATCATTTTCATTGTTATAGCTCCTATACCTTGTCCTGTAAACTGGGTCTATCCTGTTGAATATTGTGAAAATAAAAAACTTAAATATTAATTTCTAACTCACGTACTAAATTTCTCTTTTATTATTTTTTCTACTTACTGACATTCCATTTAAATGATTGCTTTCAACTGTCTGCGATGTTAAAGATCACCGAGGCACCTAATTTTCTTTCGTCATTTTGACAGTGAATACCTAAATGCTTTCTTTCGTTTTGCGTTTCATTTACAAGAAACTGTTTTTCCTTCGGCTTTCCTTTTTTCCTCGATCTCAGATCGGGGAAAACGTTTGTGCTCGCAGGGCACGTAGACTTGGCGCTATCTTTTGATTTTCCGCACCGTCATATTATCATAGTTGAGCATAGTAATTCTTGATTTAAACGTAGGTACTAAATTTGAGTAGTTGTGAATTTTCCTGCTTTATTTTGAGCTTGTTTTTGCATAGAATTATGTTTATTTAATTTAAATTTCAAATAGTAACCATATCTCAAAGTGATCCGACGTAGATTTAGAATGGTCTTATGCCAGTTTGAGTGGCTAATTATTTTTCTGTTAATTGTGCTTTTGAGCGCAGTTATAAATTTTATTATTACAAAAACTAAGATTACATGTTTAAAAAAAAAACTTCTCTGTCTTTAAAGTTAAATCTACTGCATGACATAGTCAGTCATACATTATATACACTCTCCAGGTGCATAAAAAGATAAGATAAGATACTAAAATATAAACAGAAATCTCCTCACATTGTGCCCAAAAAATTAAAAAGATAAATAGACAAATAAATGATATTCCTATCAATTTGACAACTTGTGTTTCGCCACAAGCTAGATAAAGGTAAGATACAAAACTAAATAATTAAAACATATGTGTAATCTAAACTATCTAATCTGTCAAAAAGAAAAAAATATATATATTTAGAGAAAATTAAAAAAGATAATGATAAATTCACACAGATATTTAAAGATAAAGATAATTACAATCATTTTCAATAAGGTAGTGACAAAAAAATACATTTTCCATATTCAAACAATAAAAAACTATTAGTGACATGCCACGTAATGTCAGCATAAAAAAATGAATAAAATCCCCAGATAACTCTGCGTGGACACATTTATCAAACATTGCCTAGCCTAGCATCCAAAGTAGCCAGGGGATACCGCTGACAACAGATATCGCATTATCATCTGCCAAAATGCAACATTTAGATGACATCCAGAAAAAATAAAAAAAATATTTTTTCACCCTATTCATTGTCACTATTGGTTCAGTATTACTAAATTAGGCAGTATTGAGCTAAATAGGTAAAAGAAAAGGTATCTTAGATATTAAAGTCCAACGTCACTTTAAGTTAAATTTATATTAAAAACAAAAACTTTAAAAACTGAAGGAAAGTTAAAATTAATTTTATTAAATTCAAATTAAGTAAACACTATACTTTTTTTTTTTTATTTGACTTTGTTCGACATACCAATTGACTAATTATAAAAATTATAAGGAAGGAAATTAAAAAAATTAATTTTACAGCAACTCTATTTTTCAAAATTACCTCTTAGTCTACATCCAAAAAACCAAGAAAATACATTTTATGCGACACCAATCCAGAGGTGAGGCCATTATTCTTGCAAGAGCTACAAGCTGTCCCTAAGTTACAAGCTAATAACCTATAATATATCCCAAATTGCCAACTTACGTAATACCTTTACGTAAGACTTACCAAAAATTGCAACAGCTGGATGTAAAGTAGAACCAATTTATTAACTAGAAACTGAACAAGAAAATAAGATAACTGGAAGAAAATAAAAGAAAAAAACAAAAATTTGAAAGGAAAGAAAAAAATTTAATAGACAAGGTAACAGACTCTTTTTGTCGCCTTTTACTACAAGCTAAGTGGCTTAGGACGTATTCTGCTCTCACACCCAAAACTTAGCTATATTATGTGTTCTTATTATTTCCAACACATTCTGTGTTCTTCTCATTTCTTCTTATTTAATTTATTTATTTTCAAATAATGAATAAACAAATTAAATTAGCTTAAAGAGTCATTTTAATAATATTACACAATATTAAATAAAAAAAGTACTGAAGAAGGCACAAAACAGAGGTAAAATGGATTACAAATTATGATTGATTAATTATTTATATTTATATTATACTTTATTTTTTGTTATTATTAGTGCATGTATTCTCACATTTTAAATTATCAAATTTGGTTGGCCTCCAATCATATAAAGACATATGACTAATTTGTGTTTTTTTTTGTTGTGTCAATAAACATCGAGCTGGAAATACGTTAATTTTATTAAAACTATATATGTGTTTTTACTGTATATTTTCGGGTTTTTTAGCAATAAAAACGAACACATTGGCATGTAGGGTAACTTCATTTTTGCCGTTTTTTTGAGAAATTTTATATAAATGAGCTCTCATCTTTTCTTTCAAATAGTCCTTGATGTATTCGTCATAAAGTTCTTTGGGTATTTCTGGTATGGTACAATTAACGGCGACCAATGAGTCTAAAAAAATATTTGTTATTTACAGGAAATCACCTGAAATTTCACACCTGAGTAATCACGTTTTACATTTTTAGATAAAACGAAATTCAATATGTCTGATATACAGGGTGTTTCATTGGTATACGACAACCATGGATAAAGGTCACTACGATTCTAAAAAACATGTATCATGGGACTCACATCATTATTTACATAACTACAGGAAGTTTCATGAAGTATTATCCTTTCTTTCGAAGATAACTAATGAATCCTCTATATATTTTTTTGAAAATTGGTTTACTTGTTTCCGTATTAACAAAAAATGTTAGGGTCCTTCAAACAACACTCTGTATATCAAAATTTTTAAAATCTGTTTTTAAATTTTAAAAAAGGACAAAAGATTGAATAAAACAATGTACACTTTGCAGTCCTGCATCCTCTACATTTTAATATCAAATTTATATTTTTATTAAGACGGGTTAATTTAATTTCAAAAAGTTTATTTTTGTTATTGAATTAAGAAAATTATTTATCGTAATTTATTAAATCTTGTGAAGTATGTCTGGGTAGTACTTATGTCTCTCATTAAACTATTTAAAAGTTCAAGTCCGGTTTTAGAACATAATACTAAATTTCCTTTTATTCTAACATACCAAAACATTTTTAAACTAACCTACCACCTAATAATTAATAAAAGATAATCTAGTTTTAGTTAGGTATATATTAATTCGCTATAAAAAATATGATTTTTCTGTTAAGTTATTACAGGCTTTTCCCGGTTATTTTGTACAACCTATTCTATCACCTCTGTAAATTTTTAAAAGATAAACTAAAGATTTTTTTATATATATTCATTGCCAACAAAAATTAATAAAAATTTTTTAGAAAAATCATATTTAAAACAAAAAATGTAGAAATTGATATCGCAAACAACTTCTAGTTCAACAATTCCCCACACTTTGTCAAGATTCTCTAATTACGCACCATTTTTAAAAAATTATGTATGCGACAAAAATTATAGAGGATAACATTACCAGCAACTTTCATTTCATGAATTTTCTTTTCCAAACGTAAATAACAGATATACTTCTTAAAGTAGAAAATGACTTTCTATAAGGTACCCCCAGATTTTTAGACTATTCTAAAAAAATTAATTATTTTACAGCCGGGTGGATTCTAGCATAAATTTATAATTTGGTGCTTTTCCATCTGTTTTTGGGTTTTCTTCAAAATTCTAAATTTACACTTTTTCTCAAATTTCTCGAAAACGGTCCATTTTAAACAAATTATATATAGCCAAGAATTTATAGAGAATTAACACAGATAATTTTTAATAAAATAATTTTTTTAAAAATTTGAATTTTTACAGTTCATCAAATACGCCAAGTAGAGACCATTTTAGAGAGTAGAGAGTAGAGAGTAGAGAGTAGAGAGTAGAGAGTAGAGAGTAGAGAGTAGAGAGTAGAGAGTAGAGAGTAGAGAGTAGAGAGTAGAGAGTAGAGAGTAGAGAGTAGAGAGTAGAGAGTAGAGAGTAGAGAGTAGAGAGTAGAGAGTAGAGAGAGTAGAGAGTAGAGAGTAGAGAGTAGAGAGTAGAGAGTAGAGAGTAGAGAGTAGAGAGTAGAGAGTAGAGAGTAGAGAGTAGAGAGTAGAGAGTAGAGAGTAGAGAGTAGAGAGTAGAGAGTAGAGAGTAGAGAGTAGAGAGTAGAGAGTAGAGAGTAGAGTAGAGAGTAGAGAGTAGAGAGTAGAGAGTAGAGAGTAGAGAGTAGAGAGTAGAGAGTAGAGAGTAGAGAGTAGAGAGTAGAGAGTAGAGAGTAGAGAGTAGAGAGTAGAGAGTAGAGAGTAGAGAGTAGAGAGTAGAGAGTAGAGAGTAGAGAGTAGAGAGTAGAGAGTAGAGAGTAGAGAGTAGAGAGTAGAGAGTAGAGAGTAGAGAGTAGAGAGTAGAGAGTAGAGAGTAGAGAGTAGAGAGTAGAGAGTAGAGAGTAGAGAGTAGAGAGTAGAGAGTAGAGAGTAGAGAGTAGAGAGTAGAGAGTAGAGAGTAGAGAGTAGAGAGTAGAGAGTAGAGAGTAGAGAGTAGAGAGTAGAGAGTAGAGAGTAGAGAGTAGAGAGTAGAGAGTAGAGAGTAGAGAGTAGAGAGTAGAGAGTAGAGAGTAGAGAGTAGAGAGTAGAGAGTAGAGAGTAGAGAGTAGAGAGTAGAGAGTAGAGAGTAGAGAGTAGAGAGTAGAGAGTAGAGAGTAGAGAGTAGAGAGTAGAGAGTAGAGAGTAGAGAGTAGAGAGTAGAGAGTAGAGAGTAGAGAGTAGAGAGTAGAGAGTAGAGAGTAGAGAGTAGAGAGTAGAGAGTAGAGTAGAGAGTAGAGAGTAGAGAGTAGAGAGTAGAGAGTAGAGAGTAGAGAGTAGAGAGTAGAGAGTAGAGAGTAGAGAGTAGAGAGTAGAGAGTAGAGAGTAGAGAGTAGAGAGTAGAGAGTAGAGAGTAGAGAGTAGAGAGTAGAGAGTAGAGAGTAGAGAGTAGAGAGTAGAGAGTAGAGAGTAGAGAGTAGAGAGTAGAGAGTAGAGAGTAGAGAGTAGAGAGTAGAGAGTAGAGAGTAGAGAGTAGAGAGTAGAGAGTAGAGAGTAGAGAGTAGAGAGTAGAGAGTAGAGAGTAGAGAGTAGAGAGTAGAGAGTAGAGAGTAGAGAGTAGAGAGTAGAGAGTAGAGAGTAGAGAGTAGAGAGTAGAGAGTAGAGAGTAGAGAGTAGAGAGTAGAGAGTAGAGAGTAGAGAGTAGAGAGTAGAGAGTAGAGTAGAGAGTAGAGAGTAGAGAGTGGAGAGTAGAGAGTAGAGAGTAGAGAGTAGAGAGTGGAGAGTAGAGAGTAGAGAGTAGAGAGTAGAGAGTGGAGAGTAGAGAGTAGAGAGTAGAGAGTAGAGAGTAGAGAGTAGAGAGTAGAGAGTAGAGAGTAGAGAGTAGAGAGTAGAGAGTAGAGAGTAGAGAGTAGAGAGTAGAGAGTAGAGAGTAGAGAGTAGAGAGTAGAGAGTAGAGAGTAGAGAGTAGAGAGTAGAGAGTAGAGAGTAGAGAGTAGAGAGTAGAGAGTAGAGAGTAGAGAGTAGAGAGTAGAGAGTAGAGAGTAGAGAGTAGAGAGTAGAGAGTAGAGAGTAGAGAGTAGAGAGTAGAGAGTAGAGAGAGTAGAGAGTAGAGAGTAGAGAGTAGAGAGTAGAGAGTAGAGAGTAGAGTAGAAAGTAGAGAGTAGAGAGTAGAGAGTAGAGAGTAGAGAGTAGAAAGTAGAGAGTAGAGAGTAGAGAGTAGAGAGTAGAGAGTAGAGAGTAGAGAGTAGAGAGTAGAGAGTAGAGAGTAGAGAGTAGAGAGTAGAGAGTAGAGAGTAGAGAGTAGAGAGTAGAGAGTAGAGAGTAGAGAGTAGAGAGTAGAGAGTAGAGAGAGTTTTACAAATATTTTGCTTTTAAATTTAGTGCGATGGATCTTCTTTTCATTTTAGAGTTACTGCAAGAATTTTTTTTATCGAGAATTTCCCAGATATGTGGATTGGGAGGGGTGGTCCTCAACATTGGCCGGCGAGATCACCCGGTTTTAATCCATTAGATTATAATATTTTAGGATACCTAAAGTCTAAAGTGTATTCCACAAAAACAAATACCTAGTAGAGAAGATTTTTTACTAAAGATAGAAAACGTTTGAGAAGAATTAAGGAATAATCGAGATATCATTAGAAAGCCATTAGAAGCATTACAAATCGAACTGTAAAATTCTTTGTTAAAAACGGGGGATATTTCGAAAAACTTTTTGTAACTTTGTGTAATTTGTGCACAAAGGTGAAATATTCAAACAACTGTATGGATTAGTGTTCTTTGTTCGTGTCAATTAATATCTAAAATGCTATAAAAATAATTTAGTTCAGATATTGAAAAACAGATTTATATAAAAAAAAAAAACAATTAAAAAATATAAAAAATAAAAATTACGGAACAGTTCATTTGAAGCAGTTTAGTAGATAGTAAGCCACTTGAGCACAGTAGAGAGTAAAGTTAGCTACGCATTCTTCTTCTTTTTTCGGAACTGTCAGCTGTCAACAGTATTGCCAACCTAACCTATGAAGTTAGCTACGCATTCTTCTTCTTTTTTTTGCGAAACTGTCAAATGTCATTCTTCTTCTTTTTAATCATGGCCTCAGCTGCTAGGGCTATTCGGCTATTCTTCTTTGTTTTGCAGGACTGTCAAAGTGAAGTTAGCTACGCATTTGTTTTCCACAAATCTGGGCAAGTATCAATGAAATTTGTAGATATGGCAACGTCGCATTACATGGAGTAGATAGCAAGTATTTTTACATTTCCCCAGACATCGAGCGCTTTTGTAGCCTGAAAAGCCACAAAAAACGGCAACGGTGTATTCTGCCACGTCGCTTCGATCGAGAGATCCGTTAGGCAGATAAGAGCATATGTAAACGGGTGAGGAGGGGGGCGGAAGAGAGCATACAAAAATGGATCTTCGTTGGCGAATTAAAAACAAAACCAAAACTAAAAAAATTGTTCCTTCTTAGATCGAATCATCTTGTGACCATTCGTAATCCCAACTGAAAAGGTAGACAACGCAGTTTTACACCTATTTAAATAATTAGGCAACACACATGGCACAGCTGGACATGTCAACGGGCGGGGAAGGGGCGGAAGAGAACACCAGCCACCTGTCACAGCAAGGAGGATAAAATATACATCGACGTTGTCAACAATGTATAGCTTGTCAACTGTCAAAATGATACAAAGGGGGATATCAAACGGAATATCAAAAGTAAAAATAATAACAAAGAAATGGTGACGTCACAAAGTCAAACTTTGCAGCAGCGTTTAGTTTTTGAATAAAGGCCAAAACAAAAATTGTAAAAGCTAGTACTCACATAATTATTTAATGTATCCAAATAAAAATCACTAAATCACATGTTGAGATGATGATAAGAACAATATATAATTGCAAGTACCCAACTATTCAACCAATATAATATAAACAGTTCAAAAGATGATACTTTTAATTATTATTGTACATG